TGAGTTGGCATTGACTTGATGGCAACTAACAATGAAAACAACAACCCTGTTACCTGACTAGCTCCCACCATTTCTTCATTCCCTACATTTATGTCACTTTCTTCAGGCCAAGTCTGCCTTAGATACCCCTCCTACATGTGCTGCACGGGGCCTTGTGATTCTTCTGTCATAGCCTCAACACCCTGCCCCCAAAGCCTCTGGGGCCAGAGACAAGCACTGTGAACTTTTGTCTCCCCATGATAGTGGGGACCATATCTTCTTTCTTCATCATCGTATCCTCAATACCTACCACGATGGCAGTGGAGAGAAAGCATTCTATAACTGGTAGCTAAATGTGGAGTATGTGCTTAATAAATCTGTGTTGACGTGATATGAAAAAACAACAGACCCCACCTGAGTGTGTAGGAAGCAACTGGTGTAAGGGTAAGGGCTTGAGTTATACAACCAGACAGATATGGGTTCAAGTTGCAATTCTGCCATTGATTTATGGCAAGTGAAACTCTCTCTGAGGCTCAATCTGTTCATCTATATTGTTGTTGTTGTTAGCTGCCATCAAGTTGGCCCCCTGACTCATGACTACCCCATTCACAAGGGGATCAGACCATTGTGATCCATAACATTTTCATTGGCTGATTTTTCAGAAGTAGATCACCAGGCCTTTCTTCCTAATCTGTCTTAGCCTGGAAGCTCCACTGAAATCTGTTCACCATCATAGCAACACACAAGCCTCCAGTGACAGACAGGTGGTGGCTTGTGTGTACGAGGTACCTTGCCCAGGAATAGAACCTGGGTCTCCTGCATGGAAGGCAAGAATTCTACCACTGAACCATCACTGCTCCCTCATCATCTATAAGACGATATAATAATGTTTACTTTGCATGGATGTTTTTAGAAGGATTAAATGACAGAACATACGTGGTACACAGGAGACTCATAAGTCTATGACTGTTCCCGTACTAAGTGTATGGCCTCCTATCTGTGTGGGAACCCAACAGTGAAGAAGTCAGGAAGATAGGCAGCCTGGGGCTGGCCCGGCTTCTGAGAGATACCCCAACGCTCCCAACCTGAGAGGTGTAAGGACCAGGCATAAGACAGCCCCCAAAGCCTCTGGGGCCAGAGACAAGTGCCGTGAATGTGGAAGTCACTCCTCCAGCTTGTCCCAGAGAAAAACATCCAATCTTGCTGATTTGCCAGGCTCAGTACACCCCCTGCCTGAGGCCATACTGAAGACTTGGGGATGCTTGAGATCTGGCTGTCTGCTCTCAGGAAATCTCCCACCCCTAAATTCCCTCCACCATTTAAGGCACCACGTAGGCAGGCATAAATCTGCATGGGGGAACAACCTGAGACACGCTGAGATTTCATCCTTAAACAGTAGACATCACAACCACCTTCTCTTTCCTCCCTGCCAACCCCTGTCATGCCTGACCTCCTGACCACGGAGCCCAGTGTCATTGGAAACCTGATTGAGCTGGCTTCTCCTTGGCTTACAGACAAGACAACCAATCACGGAACTAACAGCTCATCAGCTTCAAAAGCGGCTGCCCCCATCCTGTGCCTGGCTGAGAAAATCAATGTGCCTTTGAGTTGCTTTGTGTATCTAGGGCCCCAGCCATGGAGAACAAAAGCAGCTACACCGCTAAGCTGTTCCCTGAACAGGGCTGAATGTTTTCCTGGCCTGGGGGAAGGCTTATAGCAAGTTATATGTTAAATGGTAGATCCAAATATCTTTATCACGCCCTTGAACTGAGGAAACTGACTCAGGTGGTAAAAAAATCACAGAGCGAAAACTGTGTGCCTCATTGTCCGCCTCACCTGGCAGCAGGGTCGGCTGCCTGGAGCCGTGCCTACATGACGTGGGTACTAAGTCAATGGGTACTGCCGACTCTGAACCCACTGGAGAAAGAAGCAGGCTTCAAACTCAGAAGTCCCATCCTCCTATTAAATGCAAGGTCCCAGTGCACATCACCATTTCCCAAGTGGAAAAGACCAAGCACCCACTGTCTCAGAGCACGCCCACACGTCTTTCCAGCTGCTGGTCCAGATCAGAGCTAATGGAGGAGGAACACCAGCGAGATGTGGAATTGCTTGCTTGAGAAGTCTGTCTGCAAGGCTGTTTACAAATCATGCCCACAGTAGGCAATTCAATCCCATAGTACACAACTCACAATTCACAGCAAAGGACTTCCATTAATATGAGAAGGTGCTTATCTCCACTAACAATAGAGATTTCCAGTTCAGCTCCAACAGGGTACCATCTTTCATCCATCAGAGTATGAACAGGTGAGGGGGAACTGGTAAACCCCAGTGCTGGTGGGCTTATAATTGTACAGACACTTTGGAGAGCAATTTGTTAGTGTCTAGTAAAAACGAAAATGCTCATACTTCAAAAAAAACAAAAACCCTTTGCCATCGAGACAATTCCAACTCATAGTGACCCATGTGTTACAGAGTAGAACTGCTACATAGGGTTTTCTTAGCTGTGAGGAGCTCTGGTGGCACAGTGATTAAGCACTCGGCTGCTAACCAAAAGGTGGCAGTCTGAACTCATCTAGCCACTCTGTGGGAGAAAGACCTGGCGATCTGCTTCCAGAAAAATTACAGCCCGGAAAACTCTATGGGACAATTCTATTTTGTCCTATAGGGTTGCTGTGAGTTAGAATCGACTTGACAGCAACAAGTTTGAGTTTTATACACTGGGGTGGCTATGAGCTGGAATTGACTCCATGGCACCTGACAACAGCAACAACGTGGACATGCCTGTTCCTCAATTTGACCATGAGTCCGTGGGGAGAGAGAACACAGTTGGCTTCTATTAGCTCTGCAGACACCACAGGGCTTGGACAGAGAAGGTATGCCATCAATATTTACTAACTGACTCATGGGACATCTCCCTGAGGGACGGTCCTCAGCTGCCCAACCTCCCATGTGGTCGAGACATAATCTTCCCCAACTTGTGTAGCCTCTGGGCTCACTGGGGAAGGCCACCACACAGCAAACAATGCTCTGCCTCCATGCTCTCGCTCTCTAAGCGCCTGAAAGTAAATCTCATGTCGCAGCCCAAGGCTTCTCCAAGGCCCCTTCCTGGAGTGTCCTGGAAACCCCTCACCATGTAGCGTGCTTCCCTCCTGTGTGTTCAGGGAGTCCCTACCATCCCCTTGCATGTGTCTACACATTAGTCTACAAGCGTGAGAGCCACAAATAACTCCAAACATAAATACAGCCTAAAAATAGCCATAAATCATTCTGAATCCATTCCATGACAATTCTAATTTACAACACGAGGGGAGAAAATGAACACTGTGGCTTTCTTTTTACCCTGGGCTTCTGAGCCACTGCTGAGGAAGAATTCTGCCCTGCCATTATTTATGACCCAAAGCTCCTGATTTACATATTACTAAAGATGAAATACACCGGGACCCGCAGGCACGGAGGCTGCTGACCGCAGTTTCACTGTGAATTCCTCTCGAGCAGGCTGTCAGTCCCAGGCTGACCCGGCTCCTCCTTCTTTGACCCCACCCATGCTTCTCTTCACTTTCTACCGATTATTACTCTGTTGGGGGAGATAAGTGTCCCACTCCCCAAGAGTGGAGCCCTGCCTCCCTCAGCTCCCTGCAATGATGGCTAATACATTTGCACAATCAACGGTCACAGTCCTAGAGGTGGTTCCAAGCAGCATGTTTGTGGTAATCTGCATTTTAATGTTCCATGCAGTCAATTAAATCCCACTGTGCAAACGCTGTGCACTAGAGAAGGTAGGGAACTGGAGTTTTCACATATACAGACTTTCCTTTGTTCATCGTCATAAAGCATTGTTATTAGGTGCAAACACACACACACACACACACACACACACACACATATAACAAAAGTTATTTCTCTCTGTGGGGTAATATAATAAAAGCCATTTGATGCTATTTTTAACAGCCGTAAAAGCACATGATTAATATAGAAAAAGACATAATGACAAAGTGCATCTCAAAAGATGTCAGCATGGCAGGGCAATCCATTGAGCTCAAGTGGGCTTACCGTCCTAGCTATCAATCATGGCACGCCCGAGGTCCAACACACCCACAGATTCTTCGACCTATTTGAAATACCAGGTGGATTACACATAGGCTTCTCAGGTCCTGGCCCAAGACAGCCCGACTCTGGGGAAGATCCTTTCACACAGGTCAGTGAGAAAGACAGAGTAGTGGGCGCTCACTAATTAGCAGACCAACAATTTGCACGATTCATATCCTCTCCCTCTACCACGGTGACACACAGCAGGTCCTTGGATGATAAGAAGAGAAACCAAGGGAATTTCATGGTGGCTGCTCAAAGCTGGCAGCCCCGGGGGTTGGAACCAAAGCAAATAAACCAGTCTGCACCATGGTACAGTCTCCACCCAAGGACCAAATCCCAGAGTGTACGCAAGACCCCAAGATGTTGTCTGCAACACCCATTTCCACTCCAGCCCTGCAAAAATTACATGTACCTTGTCATGCTATTATCTTTAACAACTACATGCTCTCTGAACTTGAGATGCCCAAGAGGGAATGGAAGGGTTTGTCAGTCGAGGGAGGGAAGCCAGGCTGTGGGTAGAGAATTACCAGCTCCTGAGTGACCACTTGGCAGAAGTAGACCGGGGCCACCTCAAGAGGGAGCTTGCTTATACCAAACCCTCTCTTCCCCAGCATCTGCAAACTCAAACTCTCCATGTACCCAGAGACTCTTCTGTGATAAACACAATAAATGAGTCTGCAAGAACCTTGCAAACCTCAATCTACACACCAATGACTCCCTAGAACATGAGCACGTCAGTTAAACCCAGCTTCATTGAAAACCTGAGTGGAGACCATAGGGTAAGAAATTAGGAAGAAACAAAACAGGGTCTTGGCAAACAAAACTTCTGTTGGCAGAGGGGACTGGCATCACATTACTTCAAAGCATTCCATTCTCTGTTTCAGCTCAGGACATGACATTTGGGGAACGAGAGGACCTCGTCCGATCTTTACCTCCACTCCCTGGACCTTCAGTTTCATGTGATCCTCTCTGGTCGTTTTCCCATCTTTCCTCTTTTTCCAGCAATACCCATCTTTCCTGTATTTCACCTTCTTCCTGTTGTAGAGTATCATAGAGCCATTCTGTGGTCTGGAAACAACAAATGGTTAAATTACCAAGAGAGCCAAGCAGGAGAGAAATTTATGAAGAAAGATATCGCAGGCCAGTAAAAGTCTCTACAGAAAAGCAATATTCCACATTTGCGGAACCATAATTTTTCACCTTTCATTGCAGCTCCCTGGATTAACCGTGTTTTATGGCCAGCCAAAATTTGCTTGTGGATTTGGTACCTAATGAATTAAATGTGTCAATGATAGGCTTAAAAAACATCCCCTTAGTAATATCCACTGTCTAATCAGGATATACGATGCGGGGGGCCTGCACTACACACTGAAAAGTCGGCAAAACAGAGAGAGAAAGCAAAAAGAGCCGGGGGGGTTGTGGCAGCCTGCAATAGCTTATCTCTCGTAGAAGGATTTTCTACACATCTTTTTAATCCATCACCCAGCATTAGGAAATAAATAAGTTTAACGCAGACACTAGATGACTATGTTAAGAGCAGACCAGTGGAAGAGCCAGTCGTGGAGTCCAAATGCTCTTGATTCACTGCCTGCATTTAGATTACCGCTAGATATGGAACACCATCTCCAGTCCTTCTTCTCTCAAGAGAGCTAAGTACCTGATTCTTTTCCATTTGGGCTTCAACTGTCAGAGGGCTCAGACACTGCCAGGTAAATTTGTCTATTGAGTCCACAGCCACAGTATCTTAAGAAAATTGTTTCCTGCTTGCTAAGTGAGTGGGATGTCTGTTCTTGCGCCATTTCAAAGAACAAACAGAAAGAACCTTGGACTTTCCAAAAAGAATTCATGCATCAACCACAGAGAGCAAGATGGTTACATACAGTCATGTATTTTTGGTATGGGAACACCAAGGAAGAAAAGAACTAAACCCATCAGGCAGCTGGGGGCAAGGGCTCTGATAAACCACTTCCAAAGTCAAGGTTCAGCAGGTATAGGCAGAGCCAACCTCCAAGAGAGATTCCTCTGGAAGCAAACAGCTCACCACCCATCCTACAGCCAGCTCTCTCTTACTCTGCCCCTGGATGCACTCAGCACAGAATAAACAGTTGCCGTCGAGTCGAGTCTGACTCATAGCGACCCTAGAGGACAGAGTAGAACTGCCCCATAGGGTTTCCAAGGAGCGCCTGGTGGATTCGAAGCGCTGACCTTTTGGTTAGCAGCTGTAGCTACAGAATATGCAATGCTAAATGATTCTGTGCACCTGAGAGGCCAGCAGTCATTCCATCTCACTCTCTGCCAAGGTGAGACAGCTCTTTACACAAATAAGGCAAATGAAGTGGCTGCTTCTGATGCGAGCTGGCTTACACGATTCTCCGCTACAGCAGAGGTGAGAAAACGATCAGTCAGCCCTCCTTCCCTGTGGCCTGGGGCAAGAGCCTCCCACTTTCTGTTTCCTTTGAACAACGGGCCATTTCACAATTGGGCACAGAACATGGTGCTACTGATGTCTTAATATTCCATTGTCTGTAGGGGAAAAAAAATCATGCCAGGGTGACAGCAGCTAATTGTAGCTCCCACCCAGCCCGACGTTGTCATTCAGTAGCAATATGATGACTAAACAGCAATTCCATTGGAAATTATAGACTTTCAACAGCAACTCCCAACACTTTATTGTTTCCCAATCACTGTGCAATTGGTTTGTGTCAGTGTTGGTTTCCTCCCTAAGTCTGTACCGACTAAAACAATCGGGAAACAGCTCTGCACAATTGTCACAATGCTGTCAGCTGATGGTATCTGTCTCCCACTTACAAGTCTGCACTGAAAACCTTCCCATTCTCTTTGATTTCTAAGTGGCAGGTAGGCTCGCCTATGGGACTAACTACACCTGCCTCTTTCCACTTCAGCTCTGCTTGAGATACTTGTACCTAATCTTCAGAGCACTGGAATCCCTCCCCACTCCCTAACAGACCTATTAGAAGGGCCCTGAAGTCCAACCAGGGAATCCCTGAGTGGTGCAAACCTTAAATGCGCTCGGCTATTAATGGAAAGGTTGGGGGTTCAAGTCCACGCAGCGGTGCCTCAGAAGAAAGGCCTGGTGATTTACTTCCTAAAAATCAGCCATTGAAAACCTTATGGAGCATAGTTCTACTCTGACATATGTGGGGTCGCCATGAGTTGGGGTTGACTCAACAGCTACTATTTTAAAGTTCAACCACTGTGCTTAGGACCACTGCCTATGGAATAAGCAAAGGGATATATCTGAAACAATACACATCTCTGCATTTGCCTTGTCCTCTCCAAAGAGGAACAAAGATGCCCATAAGAGTGTTGCAGAGACTTCTCTGAATCCAGAAAACTTATCCACTGAGGTAGGTGCCACATTCATCTAATCCAGCTTCTCATGAGTTCAGACATGGTTTGTGACTTGCTTTATTCTTTTGCCCTCTCCAAACATGGCCAATAAGCCCCAGGGCCATCTTCAGGCAACTGTCCCCAAATTACAACTAGTATGACCCAGAGAGGAAACCCTGGTGGCATAGTGGTTAAGAGTTCCGCTGCTAACCAAAAGGTTCGAATCCAATAGGTGCTCCTTGGAAACCCTATGGGGCAATTCTACTCTGTCCTATAGGGTCACTATGCATTGGAATTGACTCAGTGACAATGGGGTGACCCAGAGAGAATGGATTCCCCAAAACACTGTCATTTACAGAGTCACAACAGCAACCACCCAAGGAAACCCATCTTCCTCTGGTGACCCACCTTCTGCCATTCTGAGAATGGCCCTGTCTTCTGACACTTTTAGCAGGACACAATCCCACAGGGAACTTAAGTGTCCAACTTAAATGGCCTTAATAAATGGAAACATCATTTTAACTTGCAATAATGAGCAACCTAATAGCACTTAATCCACCAATCTGATTTTATTAGAACTTGCTTCTGCTCTGTGTGATGGGAAAAGTCTGCCCCATAGCGCACAGGTCCTAAGAATGGCAAAGGAAGAAACAGGCACACTGTGGAAGGACCAATGTGCTCCAAAATGCAGAGAAAATGAGGCTGTATTGCAGTCCCAGAATAAAATCATGAGCCAGTCAGAGATCAGAAAAGGAAGGAAGGGGGGAAGGGAGGAGGTTTCTCTGGGAGGAACAAGAGGCAGGTCACACCAGGCCAGTAACGGCAGGACTTTAACATGTTTCATGAGAGCATAAACGACAACACCTACCTGAGAAGAGCAGGGAAATGAGAACAAAGTTCACGGCAGACAGTAATAGGGACTGCATGGAGAAGACATGGGAGTGAGAGTTGGTCATGTCCATTGGCTTCTCCAGGGAAGCCCTACAACTTAATGATACATTAGCTCTCAATTATTGGTCACTTACTCTGTGCTTAGCAGGGCATGTCACATGCATATCTATATATCTACATCTATACCTACATCAACATGACACTGACACCTACACCCACATCTACGCCAACACTGATAACTATGCCTACAGCAACATCTACAGGAACACTGACATCTACATTGGCACCTACACTTACATCTACACCAACACTGGCACCTATGCCTACATCAAAATCTATAAGAACACCAACAGCTACATCAACACTGACATCTACACCAACATCAACACCAATACCTACATCAGCATGGTCACCAACATCAACACCGAAACCAACACCTACACCTATACCAACATCTACACTGACACTGACACAGACACCTACACTGACACCAACACAGATACTGACATCTACACAGACACCGACATCTACACCTACATTGACATCTACCTCTACAGTGAAATCTACACCAACACCGACATCTACACCAACATCTACAAGAACACAGATATGTACATCTACATCAACACCTACATTGGCATGGGCGCTAGCATCTATGCCAACACCAGCATCTACACTGACACTGACATCTACACCAAAACCAAAACCTATACCTACACCAACATCTACCCTAACACCAAAATCTACACCTATACCTATACTAACACCAACACCTACATCGACATCTATATCTACACCGACACTAACACCAACACCTACATCTATATCTGTATCTTTATCTATATCTATTTTTTGGTGCCCTCACAATAACTCTGTGAGGTAGGTATTACCATCATTCCCAATTATAGATGAGGAAACCGAGCCTCTCTAGCCAGAAAGTTTCTGAGCAGGATTCATGCTGACTGACTTCAGAGCCACCACTGCAGCTACTAGTTAGGGGAGACTGTAGGGGCCAGTCCAGGTTTGAGCCTCAGTTCTGCTCTACTAGCTGGGTAGTCATTAATGCCCTGAACGTACCACTTACCCAAAGACAGACAGGGATTTGGTAGGTGAGACCCCGGCTTCCTTGCCCTGTGGTTGGATAACTCTGAGTCGTGTTCTACACAGCCTCCCAGAGCTCCCCGTGCAGTTATAAGCAATGGTTGTCCACAGTGATAACTTGCTTGACAAAGGGCCCTTTATTTGCATTCCCTCCTTCTCTCTCTCACTTCCCCACTCCCCTACTGGTATTTCCTGGAATCACCTCCCAAATAACCTGCTTGCACTCAAATCCTCATCTCAGGGTCTCCTTCTGGGAGAATCCAGACTAAGAGACTAGGAGAGCCTCAGGAAAACAATCCAAGACCTTCATGGCAGCAGTGCTGAGGAATAACAAGGAAACGGTGAACAAAAGGAAGCATCCTTCTAACCAGGGAGATCCCTCGCCAAGTAATCCTTTTATCTGAGAGATTGACAACTAGCAAAACCAATAGTGCTCAGTGCAACATGGTAAAAAGATCATGGGATCAATGGAAAAACTACTGCAAATAATAAGAGTAAAAAAGCAGATATAAAATTAAGATATAAAATCGTTGTTGTTAGTTGCCGCCAAGTTATTCCAACTCATAGTGACCCCATGTGTGTAGAGTAGAACTTTTCCATAGGGCCTGCTTCCTTTGTAAACAGATCACCAGGCCCGTTTTCTGAGGTGCCTCTAGGTAGGTTCGAATCGCCAGCCTTTTGGCTAGTAGTCAAGTGCTTAACCATTTGCACTACCCAGGGACTCC